ACGGCACAGAACTTAAAAAGAGTTTCGCACATAGTACGGAACTTTAAAAAGGTTTGGAATTTTGCAACGAAAACGAAACCTTTTTAGGGTTTCGTATGAAACCTTTGAAATCTTTAAAAAAAGACTCCTAAAGTTCGGACGATCATTTTGGACGTATCTTGGGTTTTTACGAAGCCTCAAGAAAGGTTTCACTTTCGTTGCAAAAATGGTTTCGTATGGCGCCTTAGTTTTTTTCAGAGTAGTACCCAACAGCAGAACCCCCAAAAAGGTTCTGCAAAACTCCATTTCTTTTCAGAGTACTCGTGGTAGATCACATTCGAGACAATGAACACTAAAGTTTTACATGCATTAGCATGTGAGGAATGAAACTTCATCATCGACTTTCTTACTTGTGGTCGTACATCATTACTTGATAGGCTAAAAACTGCCCAATGATGGCGAAATCTATATATTACGATGTGTTTCTCAATAAGCATATGCATATGCTGTCATTTATTCTATGCTGGATTTCTTGGAGTAAAGCGTGCGAAAGAACAAGCAGATCGATATTCGCATACTTGGACCATAACAGTCAGTAACACATGTATAAAATAATGCTCTTTCAGCATTATTCATGTCTGTCATAGCATAATACGTAGATAATGCAGATGTTTCATGAGAAGAACATTGTAATATGTAGATTGCGATATTGTTGAGCAGTTTTTAGTATATCAAGTAATGATGTGCAATCAAAAGTAAGACGCTCGATGATGAAGTTTCATCTCTCACATGCTAATGCATGCAAAACTTCAGTGTTCATTGTCTCGAATGTGATCCATCACGAGTAGAATTGATTAGTTTTGTCTAGTTTAAGATCACCCGGGGAAGAACGCTTTCTTACATAAGAATCAGCTCATTGACCTCTACGAACTGATACACAACTGATTCGAAACGACGCGGCACACTTCGATATAGAGGATGTTCCATAAGTAACGACCGTGATTGTAAGGATTTCACTTCATAAAAAGGGGGCTGTTACGTATGAAATGCCTTTTATAAATTTACAATATATTATTAGGTGTTTTAAAATAGTTGCGTGAGAAAAATGCAAAATAGATAAATAGATTAAAACTATAACAAGTTTCCTAGCTGATACATACGCTCTGAAATTAAATCATTCCGAAAATGTTTGTATCTATGATTACTGTTCTAGCAATTTATTTCAGTCACTTAATATCGTTATACGGGAAAAACATATTGATATTATCAGATACATCTTCAATATATAACTTCTACTTTCCTAATGACAATAGACATACTCCATATGCCATAGGAAACAGCAAATATAACTTTACTCTTTGTTTCATCAGTTCGACTACTACATTAGCTTGCTACACATATTGATTTTTTTTTCTCACTAAGCTACCACGCACCCTATAGTTTCTTTCGACGAATTTCGACTTAAACTGCTGAGTTTTGTCAAAACTTAGAATCAAATTAGTTCATATTTTTTTTTACATTCGTCCTATTCTGACTCTGCTAGATAAAAAATAAAATCGCTCTATTGATTGATATGTATAACAAGTTCATTTCGCTGCATGAAAAACCCGAAATTCGCAATATTTAGACTGAACAGTTAGAATCTAGAGATTTTCAGAATGATATACGCACTGATATAGCTTACGTGCGACCTCCTGTTGCTAGAATCTAGAATGGGTTACTAGGATCTGTGATGGGAAAGCCTAGGAGGATGAGCGCAAAAACTTCGACTTAAACTTAGACCCATTATATTTTTTGGACCTTTGTTCGATGCATGTATCAAAAGCCTCATGGAAGCGAACTAGAAAATTTTAGTTTAGCATTTGCATTACAGCCCTTGCATATCCTGAAAGTTTTATAGGATCTGAATTTACTGGACCCAAAAACAAATATGAGAATAGAGAGGTATTACCCGGAAAGTGATCTGTTAACCAATAATATTCACTAATCAAGTGATGCATGCTGTCCTTGTTTTCATTGACAATAGTTTTTAGGCATAGCTACTCAAGTTGTACGTTGATCGAATCGCGTTAAACTGGTCCAGCAAAAAAGTTATACTTCTTTCAGTAAATTTCAAGTTATTCACGGATTTAACGAACAATGAGGTGTGAATATTACACATATGAAGTTTTCTTTATTGACTCCGCAATAAATACAGTATAGAAGAGTATGAAGTCTAAACTCAGTGATGTAATTTATAAGCTCGATTGAATAGTAAACGTGAACGGATCAGCAGAACAATCAAATCAGATCAATCGAGTCTCTGATTGGTGGACACATTTTCGTGCTATAGATGAGACACGAAAAATATTAATCTCACATGTGATCTCATAATTTTTGTAGTATACTTTTTTCTTCAGTGTATGCGTAAAATAATAAACGTCCCTAATGAAAGTAAACTGTAGTATACCTTTGTGTTGCGAATAATAAATCTATACGATAGAAAGGTAGAATAAACAAACCTTAGACACAGAATAATAAATTCTTCGAATGGCAACATATAATAATTTACTCTGATGCATAGAATAATAAATATTTCTGATGCAGGCATTGAATCATAAATCCCTATGTGTATGTCACATTCCCTTTTCATTTTCATATACTCGCGCTGTATTAAATGCTTGAACTTAGAAATCCTTGAAGGTTATATGGTGTCAGCAGAGATCCTTCGACAGATTTATGAAAAATTATTCGGCTTATAGAGCTCTATCTACTTTTTTATTAAAAAAAACCAGAAAAGAATTGCTCTAATTTTTCATGAATTGCATCTTAGATTAGATCTTGAAAATGGAGATGCATTTGCGTCGATTATTGGTTGATAGTATAAAGAAGCAAACTCTGCTATATATTTTGGTGATATTCATTATTGCATATCTGTTTATACATCTATCTGTCTGTGCAAAACAGAAGGGAGCTAATTCTCCCTGTCGGATTACATTTTCTACTGAAAAAGATTATCCAGCGATTGCTTTGCTAGTTGAATCAAGATACTCGGCTTTAGTAATTACTGTTATCCGCAATACTCTAGACCATATACCGACAACTTGGCCTGTTCAAATTTTCCACGGTACCAAAAATAAAGAATTCCTGTTGAACTCCTCAATATCTGCGCTAATCAAAGCTGGCCGAATAATATTAACTCAATATCGTGAATACGATGGAAGACGAGTGGAATTTCAAGATGACTATCTAACTAATATATCATTTTGGAAACAAGTACGAGGGGAGAAAGTATTGATTTTTCATATCGACTCTATAATGTGTTCAAACTCTCCACATAAGATCACTGATTATTTACAGTATGATTACGTCGGTGCTCCATGGCCTCTGAGTCCCCAACTGCCAGTTTTGGGCGGAAATGGAGCTTTCTCTTTACGCAGTCGAAGCAAAACTATCAAATTGCTTCAGAATATGACCTTTCCAGCTGGTGCTGGTATACCAGAAGATGTATGGTTTTCCAGGCATCTTCCATCAATAGCTGTTTTACCTCCAAGAAATATTGCAAGAACTTTTTCGGTTGAAGGAGTTTATTACGAAAATCCAATGGCTCTACATAAAATATGGCTGAATCAAGAAATGAATCACCATCATCTTAAGAAAATTTGTGAAATTTGCCCTGAAGCAAAGCTGATTCCTCCTTATTGCATCACTTAGCATTATTCACTTTTAAGAAAAAGTTGTCCAGTTGAAAATCTGTTAGCGTCAACGGATGTTACTCTATGACGCTAACTTATATCTATTGTATTTGACTTTTTCCCTTCCTGTTCAATGTATATTGTCCTCTTTAATATCAAAAGGACATATTATGACCATCTTTTTCCATTGCGTCATTCTTTTCTCTATTACGCATTTTCATTTTCTTTTCTCATAGTCTATATAAGATGTTGTTTTTCTCTGTCCTCGTTGTTATTTTGTTTATTGTTTTGTATGTTACTCACTTCATTCACTATTGTTGGTCCTTCGTTACATAAATATCTTTTCTTCTAACTATTATCATCCTTATTATTATCCTAGTTGTTAGTTATTGTTATATTCTATTCTTCTCAAAAATAAAACATATTAAACATAATATCATATTTAATTCATTACTGTTACGACGACAAAGTAAGGTATTCGATTTTTGTAAGCTCTCTAATTCTTAAGCAGACTAAACAATTAGCTCTACTACTATATATTCTCCAACTGGAGGCTTACAAAATCGGACTCAATTTAATCTGTACCTGAAAAAATATAACAGACTCCATGCTGCCGAAGCATAAAAAGGCCCAAAAGCAATTTTTCACATCGACATTTGAAATAACATCATGATTACTCTTAAATTCTATGTGTTGAATTCTTCGTCTAATATTAAATTCGTCGATAGCTCATACAATGAGCCTGAAGAGTAGTGAGCTAACTCGAAAAAGTCGAGTGGTTGGGTTCCATTCTGACAGTTTCTACGAAAACTGTG